CTCACGTTTTCTACTTTCCCAGACCTGAGTAACTCTTTCACCTCTCCTACGTCCTTCTCAAGGCCAGAGTTAAATTCCTGTACAGAATCACAGAGGTGATCTTGGAAAAATTATGCAGAGATGATTACAAAAACATGCTTTAATCTGGGAAACAATGAAAACATTAGGAAGAAACTCAGACTGGCTCTGCCTTAATTCTCTAGGGCAGTGTTTCTCAACCTTGCCAACTTTAAGATGTGTGGACTTCAGCTGGCTGGCTGGGGAATTCTGGGAGTTGAAGTCCACATCTTAAAGTTGGTAAGGTTGAGAAACACTGCCCTAGGGTATCAGTAGGAGGGAAGGGAAAACTCAGTTGGACTATATCAATATAGTTCCAATCAAATGTGTAAAGTCAGTTTCCAGGTCTGCCTACCTTGAAGGGCTGACATCTACAGAGTCTCTTTTTTTTTAAGGTTGAGAAGATCCTGTTTTTTTACTTTTGGGAATGTGTGTAAACCAAATGCTCAAGATTACATTACTTAAAAGACATCTAAATCTTTGGTCAAGAAAGTTTGCTGGAGACACATGTTGAGATGGGTGGGGGGGGGGGGCGGGGGGGCAAGGTCACAGTTTCCAGTATCTGAAAGGGCCTCCTGCTAAGTTTCAACCTCAGTCATCGCTCTCAACTGTCCCTGTCCGTGAAATTATTAGCTGTTCCAGAAGGACACATTTAATCTAGAATTCCCAGTTGCTTCCAATCCAAAAGTTCTTTTTTTTATGGTAGTTCTCTTCAACACAGTATATGCATACCACTTTCTATATTTACCTTTATGAGTTTGGATAAGCTCATATCTTAAAAGTCAGACTGGATATCTTCTTCAGCTCTCAAATTCTTTTGAAAGTAGATCTGCCTGTTTTATCATATAACAACTCAGATTCTCACCATTTTTCAGCCTCCTCTATTCTGGTCATGATTGCAGATGTTCTCTACTAGCTCAAGAAGGGTTTTTTGCCTGTTTGGCTACATTAAATTGCCTGCGTATGACATAGTCTGACTTAAAAGGATCTTACCTCTACTAGTTCACTGGTTTTTATAAACAGTAAAATCTTTTTTTACTTAGCAAAATGTTATCGGTAGGGGTTCCAAAGAATACTTAATCAGTGATCCCTCACAGCTGAATTATTTTCCTTCTCTTTCTCTCTTCCCACAGACAGAAATATATGCCCCACTCAACTTATAGATAAAAGCAAACAGTACATGTTCTGGAAACAAAAGGTATGTGTAGAGTTGTAGTTATTGGTGTCTACAAAAGGTGCACACACACCTCCACCCACTAGGCATAAATGTAGATTTCAAACTTTCATTAAAAGAAGTCCCTAGGCTTTCTAGAAGACCAAGGTAACCTAAAATATGTACTGAATCATCTGCCAATTTTGCAAGAAAGGGTTATTCCTGCTTTTTGGTATTTTTAGCCAACAAATGAACAGAATTATTTTTTAATCTTCCCTAGTGAGAAATGATTGCTGCCTGGTAACAAAAACAATTCAGAAACTGAAGCTTTTGTTGTAGCAGTGATTGGGCAGTAATGTGTCTATCCAAAACAAAAGGTACAGTCAGAGACAGGAATGTTTAATATTACTAACACAACACCTTTTCTTTAAATACAATTCATCTGAGTTGCTATGTATTTTTTAAAGCACTGCTCTATTAACAGTGTACCCATATTGCGAACAGCACTGCGGTATTTGAGAGACGATGGGTTATGCCAGTCCTGCGCAGCAGCCCTGTCATATAATGACTGTGGTGGTGGAGGTGGTGGGTAATCCAGTTTGTGTTAATCAGGCCTGATCTGTTGGGGCTTTAGAAAGGGAACTGGGGGGAGGGCTGAAATTGATTGTAGTAGCCGTGCAATTTGGACTGCATATTTACATATGTTTGAGATTAAGCAAAATTGCAAGTTTTCTATTCTCCTAGTTCCTGGATGGGTCTTCTTCTCCTTTTCTTTTAAAGCAGGCTTTGGTGTTGAGGCAATCTGGCATTATGGCTATTCAGAAATCAATGTCTTGTCTTCAGATGTACTATTAAAGATGACATGAACAGTTTGCAGAGGTGGTGGGCTCCCTTCAGTTGGGTGTGTTCAAGGGAAGGTTAGACAGTATCTGTTGGGGTTCTTAAATCTGGATTCCTGCACTGAAAAGGGGGTTGGGCTCAATCACCTAAATGCCCCCTTCCAACTCTACAGTGCCATAATTCTAGAGTACTCGGTCTCTTGTGTTTTACCTAGAGAGGGAAGCTTCCATAATAGTATTCATTCATTCATTCATTCATTCATTCATTCATTCATTCATTCATTCATTCATTCAATTTATATCCTGCCCGGACCTCCAAAATGGCACTCAAAGTGGTTCCTAATTTCTTGATCTCCTTACTGGTTGATCAGGAGCACCTCAATTCATTTTAAATAATTCAGTCCATGACCAATGTCAAGCACTGCTTTAGGATTTGAACAGTTTCTTGGATTTCAATTCTTGAGGATTTCAAGCACAGGTAGAAAACTATGGTCAGGATCTTGGATCCAAAGGTTTACCCTTTGAAAAAGAAGGGGTAGATCTAGTATAACAATTTCTTAAGGCCTATAAATCTTGGTGGACTGGCTGTACAAGCTGCTAGGTTACCAAAACAATAGAAATGGAACCTGATACAATCATGGCTTTTTTGTTGCTGTTGTTATGTGTGTAACATAATAATATATACAAAGATAATGTGTTATCTGAGGGACCGCCTCTCCCCAGTCACATCAGCCCGTCCCATTAGATCCAGCAGGGAAGGTATGCTATGCATTCCATCGGCCAGGGACTTGCATTTGGTGGGTCCCAGGAGGCAGGCCTTTTCTGCCGTGGCTCCCTCCTCGTGGAATATTCTCCCCCCCTGAAGTGAGGCTCACCCCCTCCCTGCTGTTGTTTAGGAAGTCCCTCAAGACCTGGTTGTGTCATCAGGCCTGTGGGTCTTTGGGAACCGGAGACATTCTTAGATGGCTCCACTGCAATTGATATTCTGCTCCCTCTGTGGGGTTTGTATATTTTAAAACCTAAATTTTAAAAAATTTGTGTGATAATGTTTTTATTTTAATAACTTTTAATCTTTTTATATGCCTGTTTTCATTCACTTGTTATTTTAATTGTTGTACGCCGCCCTGAGTCGCTTTGTGTGAAATGGGAGGCTATATAAATGGGCTAAATAAAGCATCAATAAATCAATAAATCCATGCATAATAAGTTATATTACATTAGCTAATGAAAAATGTGGCTGATTAACCATGTGAAAGTCAACTGAGTTTCCGACTCTGGCCAAATATATCCCTTTTTCCCTGTTCCCACGGCAAAAAGACATTTCCCATAGACTCCATTGCTTCTCTCTAGAGAATAATTGCAAGGCTTTCCAAGAAGAATGGAGGGGCTCTAGCTCATGGGTAGACCCTCTGCCTTGCAGGCCAAAGGCCCCAGGTTGATGTCCTGACCTCTAGGTAAGACTAGCAAATCTGAAATCGTGGAGAGCTGCTGCATTTGCAGTCAATATAGACAATACTAAGCTAAATAGACAAAAGAGTTGGGTTCAGGGTAAGGTAACTTCATGTTTGGATTCTAGGACATGGGACATTCTGGAACATAGGAAATGCGTGACAAAAATGGCACAGCTAGATATCCAACTGCATATCTACAAGAAAATTGGGCAGGTGTGTTGTAATGATACATGCGAGTGACACAATTTACTATCACACTATAAACTGCAGCTTTGCCCATGCTTCTAGAAAAAATTGCAGCAAAGGCCCATGGTTGTAGACCCCAACAGATCTGGAAATTCTGGGAGTCATAGTATTAACATGTCCAGAGGACTCCAGGCTGGGGGAAGCTGATGTATAATTCTCAAACAGCTACAGAGATATAAGATGCATGCTTCTTAGAGATACAGAAACTGCAACATTAAGTGGAATGTTTCTTTTAAAATGCCGATAAGAAAGACAAATTTTCATCATACCTACAGTTGTACAGCTTGCTGCACCTGGTCCACAAAACCCTTCAAAATTCTCATATAAATGGCATATCCCTCTATTAAATACAGAAGCTGGTGGTCTGTCTCATCTTTCTCTCCCAGCTTCTTTCACCCTTAACTGACTAGGTTCGAAGCTTCAGGGTCAACTGAAGGGCATCCCTCTTGCTTCCAATTAAGCCCTCTTCCCAGTTCAATTTTGTGGCATCTGCAGGAGTTAATTTGGGAGAGGAAGAAACCTGTGTTGTACCTGCTCCTTGATTTCCTCCAGTCCCAGGGTGGCAATGCTGCCCGAAGGCTTCTTCAGGGGAGGTTTGGGGCGCCGTAAGCCATGGGCCACCTTGTCACGGATCACCTGAAGCACAGCAAAAGACAGGATAATGGCAACAGCAGGGCTTTTGTATTCTGAGATGGTTGTGTAGCAGGAAATAGATGTAACCCTTCCCCTAGTTTTCCACTGCCCATCAAAATCATCATGCAGGCCATTATGGTTTCTGTCAAAGGCCCAAAGCTCCAGAGCAGAGGTACAGAACTTTTGGAAGGCTATGGGCTACATTCTGAAAAGTGGGTGAGCCTAAGGACCAGGATAAAAGAGATCTATATTTTTAAAATGTGAGACTACAATATAATTGATTGATTGATTGATTGATTGATTGATTGATTGATTGATTGTACAGGGCTTCTAGGCCATTGCAAACAGAACTGCCAGCTAGTAAGATTACTACCCATAAGTAAGATTACTTTCTCCACTGTAAAGGGATACAATTTAGGGGCCAATTTTGAAAGTCTTTGGGGTCCTTCTTCAAAGGCTTGGGGCTTCTGATTGTATTCTTCCCTGTTTAGCTGGCAGTCTGAGGACATGGATAGTAGGAAATATTGCCAGCCAAGCCTCCTTTATTTGAATAATGGAAGAATGTCCCTCCTCTCCTTTTTATTGAATATGTTTTAAGGTTCACCAAATGTTGTTTTATATTATTGGATATATTTTACAGCTGTTTTAATTATAAACTGCTTTGTCTTGCTGCAGCCTAAGAAGCAATATTCAGGCATATTAAATCATAAATACATAAAATAAATAAATTTCATTTAATACCTAAATAATGTGTTCATCCACTGTATTACACTATGATTTCTTTAACCACATTTTAATAAATAAACTACCATTGGCTGAGTCCATACAACACAGTAAGTCAAATCCAAACAAACAATCTGGGTCCCCTGGACTGTATGTGGCCCTGAACCTGTTGTCTGATGGCCCCAGAACCTCCTCCGAACATGACTGGTGAAAATCAAAGTCATTGTTTCCTGTCACTTTGCAGCAGGAAATACACAAAAACAGCTCTATCCTAATTAAACAAGCACACAAAAGAGAGACCAAAACTTTCCGAAGTCCAGAAAAAAAAAATCCTGACCATGTCCACTTTGGGAACTTTGTCCACATGTCCTCACAATCATTTGCCACCCAAAATTCATGAAGCATAGACCTTGGTCATCAATACAGTTGAACTTCAGCTTTGATCACCCCGCCTACCGGTCATGCCGACTGGGGCTAACCAGAATTAGAAATCCAGCTACACTTAGTGGACCACAGGTTCCCCAGCCCCTTGCCCTGAGGAGAGGTGGTTGTTGTTGTTGTTGTTGTTGTTATTATTATTATTATTATTATTATTATTATTATTATTAGATTTTTTGTCCTGCCTTTAT